TTAACTATATTTTACAAAAATAAAGATAGAGGCAAGACCTCACCTCAACCTACGGGTTGAAAATTTAAAAAAAAAAACTATGAATATGTAATAAACTCATTTAAAACAATACCTGCATACGAATTTTTAGGTGCATATGATAAACCCTTCGAAGCAAAATTCTGTGTTAACATTACTATAATTGAGCAGGTTAAATTATGGCTAGAACAATTTACTGACTTACATAAAGTAACAATGCGTGAAAGCCAAGGAAGAACCATTAAAGGTGTTCGTTATCTTCTTTCAAAATGGTTTTACTGTATTCATAGCCATATTGTGAAATTAAAGCAAGGATCTCAAGATAAAAATATTGTTAGTAAAATCGAAGAAAATAAAGATTCTATAAATAATACATGATTACGAAATACCAATTGTCCTGCAGTACTTAGTATACAATTGAGTACTAAATCTGAATCTCATCTGTGTATAATCTCTATGTTGTTCCACTATAATCACCCTCTAAAATCAAGCTATGTTATGAGCTTTCGTTCAGTATCTGAAATTACAAAAGATATGATTTTTGAGCTTTTTAAAATTGGGCATAGTCCTAGTAGTACGTATTATACATATTTCGAACGAATGCAATTACAATTTGAAAATGATGAAGAAATATTAGCAGATCGATCAATTTGTCCACATAAAAATGATTTCTATTATCTTCATCAAAAATATCGTGCTCAAACCATAGGCCCTCAAAATGGAAAAGATATGTTTAATCATTTAATAAATGAAGTTGCTGAATTCAATGATAGTAAAAAAGGAGATGCTTGGGTACAACCATATATTGCTCCAACAAAAGATAATCCGGGACAACCATTTATCCTTATAATTGTAACAAATCTTATGAAACGATGTCATACCTTACCTCAAGCCAGTGAATTAATTTATATGGACACAACAGCAGGGCTTGATATTCTTAACACTCCTTTAACAGTTCTTTCCACAAGCACTCCTGTTGGTGGGTTACCTCTTGCAACAATTCTTACATCAGATGAAAAAACAGATACTTTAATGAAAGCTTTAAATATATTAAAAAATGAAATGCCATCAGCAACATTTGGCAGATGCGGATCTGAAATTGGACCACAAGTCATTATAACAGATGATTGTAAAGCTGAAAGAATAGCATTGCGTTATACCTGGAAACAAGCCACTTTACTTCTATGTGTCTTTCATTTTTTACAAGCAATGTGGCAATGGCTTTAGAATAAAAAAAATAATATATATAAAGATGATCGTATAATACTAATTGAACATATAAAAAAATTAGTTTTTGCAAAAACAGAAGCCATTCTTAATACAGAGTATACAAATTTAATAACAAATCCAATTTGCTTAAAATATTCAAATTTTAGATCCCATTTTAAAATATGTTGGAATCGACGTCAAGAATGGGCTATTGCATTCCGTCAGCAATTACCAATTCGTAATAATAATACCAATAACTTCGCAGAAGCTGGAATTAGAATTATAAAAGATATAATTTTTCAGCAGGTACAAGCTTATAATATCGTACAAATCTTCTAGTTTATTATTACCACAATGAATCTATACTATGTCCGTAAGTTATTAGCTATAGCCCACAATAGATTAGATAGTTTCATTGCACTTCATTTTAAACTATCAGGATGGCAAATTGGATGCAAAGAAGATATAGAAATAGTTAATTTAGACTCGATACTCTTTAAACACAGAAGTAGTAAAGATCATAATTTATGGTATCTTATAGATATGCGACTTGGAACATGTGAATGTAGCCCAACTGGAATGCCATGCAAACATCAAGCATTAGTAGCAAAGCACTATCGTATTTGTGGCTTAAATCAGATCCCTACAATGTCGGTAAATACATGGCATTATTATGCTTATTTGGCATTAGGGGAAAAAAATCAGTCACTTAGTTTTTATGCAGACCTTCATCAAGCACAGTTTGAAAAAGAAGATTATATACCTCTGAAACAAAATGAAAACTACAACAATGATATCAGTAATAATGAGAATAGTTCTAGCAACGAAATTGATAACTATGATATTAGCAATTATGATGATACTGATAATGGCAATAGTAGTATTGAGGATGAAGATAAGGATACTATTATTAATGATGGTGACTACTATAAAAAAATAATTAAAATTTCATTAATAATATATTAAATCTAGTACCGTATTTTCGCGAAATAATGCGCAAAGGTGTAATTCAAATTTTGGCCCAAATTAAACTTAATTCGGACCAACATTCGAAATAGCACTCCTGTATGTTATTCTGTGAAAATATGGTATCAAATTCTGTACTAATTTTTTTAATAATTTTTAGATTTAGCAGCTGAAGACGATAGAAATAATGATAGCGAGAGTGCCATAAGTGAACTCCGGTGGTTTTGTCATGATATGGAGAATCTTTTAAAAGAAAATGATCCTACATTAAATAATAGTGTGCACAAATTTGTCAAGATTTATAAACAACATCACTCTAAAAAAGATGCTTACGTTCATCCGGCTGTTGCATCTTTTCTTCAATCTTGTAATTGGGATGCAGGTCAGGTCTACGGAAATAAATACCACGTCGGAGGAAAGAGAATTCATGTCCAGGTCACTGCATCATCACGACGCAAAGGCTCAAATCGTGGTCTCAGAATAATGCACCAAGGAAGACTGAGAAAATCAAGAAGAAAGTTAGTTAATAATACTGAAGAACAAGAACTGGATCGGTTTGTTATACCAGCATGATCAAAAAGACAAAAAAGCAGCCACACAACTTGCAACAAGCCTTATTAGAAAACCGGCCAAATGGTTTGGCATAAATGGCACGCACTATATAAATAAAAAATAATAACATTCATATTAAATTATTATATAATTAGTTTATATATATTCTTAATAAATACATTGATATAAAGGATATAAGTAAAACCGATTTTTGTATGTCAATATACTTTTTTAAAAAGTTGATTCGATATATTTTGTAATTCGAAGTATGTCTTTATAGAAAGATAATTCTTAGCCGCTGTACAAAAAATTATGTTGGTTGTTAGAGCAATTTACGTTCATACATACTATACGTATGAATTTTTTATCGTGATAATTTTTGAATACTCGAATATGATTGGTCAGATAGATCATGTTGAAGTAGACATTCAACAAACCGAGCACAGATTCGAAAATTGCATCAGCTAGCTATTCTTCACTTTTTGATAATAGGTAATAAACTGACTATTATTACTTAATATATTGAAGAAGTTAGATATAAGCTGCTTTAGGATTTCTCTTAATAAGTTATTATATTGTAGAGATTAGCTAATTCTGTTGTTTATTGAGTCTAGAATTTTATTAAAATCTTCTGTAACAATATTTATTATATTGTCTTTCATAACTAGATATTATTATCTAAAAAAATTTAATCTGTTACCTAAGTTTGGAAGTGCATATATATTAGTAATTCTAAAAGAGTTATAATTAAATATGAAGTCTACTATAATTATTCTTCTATTTAATAATTCTTGTATATTATATAACTTTATCTTTCTATTTCTAGCCAGAATAGCTGTTTTAGATACTTAAAAAGAATCAAAATACTACAAATACTTAAGTTAATCTCTAAGTTTTTTCTTATGAGTATTAGTTTTTTGAATTACTATTAAATCAAATTTGTAACTTTTAAAAAGTATTAAAATATTATAACTTTTCTTTTGCTACAAAGTCCTTTTATATTTAAAAATACTATTTTTATAATAGATTTTCTGTTTATAGTTTGAATTTAATATTTAGAGAATATAACTTTTTTTTTGTAAGGACTAGATCTATTTGATATATTAATTGCTAGTTTAATCTTTTTTTTTTTTGTATATGACTGTAGTAAAGCCTACTATAGCTTTTTGAGAGTTTTGTCTATTAGTAGCATATCTATTTAATTTTCCTCATTTAATATTAATATAAGTGTTGAATTTAAATATTTATTTTCATCTTTAATTAGATTGAACTCATCTGAAGAGTCAAATATTACTATAGTATTACTATAGTTAAAAGAGTTTTTTATGGACAATTGAGTAGATAACTTGTGGATTTTATCTATCTTTACTATATTAGAGTTAGCTAAATTATTTGAAGTTAATATTTTGTCTCTATATTTAGTTAAGTTGTTTTCACTATTTGTATCTTGATTTGTATTTGGTTCTAATATCTGTAGCTGTACTTCTACTAAATCACTTTTTTTAGAGAAATCTTTATATTTTCTATAGTATTAAGTAAGTTTAATAGCCTCTTTTCATTGATCACAATTCTTTTTTAGATGTTTAGATTTATCGCAGAAGTAGTATAATTTCAGAATATCTTTCTACTCTGTAATTATTTTTTAATTAGCTATGCAAATAAATTTGGGTATCCTTTCTTGAAGATTAGTATTATTAGTTGTTTCAAAAGTAATAAGCTATTAATCTGTTAAAATCAGAGTGCTCTCAAAGAGTATAGGTTTAATTAAAACAACACTGCCTATATTTTAAAAGTCTCTCTTATTTCCTCTGAAATAATTTCTTTATTTGCTATAGAAAAGTTTTTTAGTTTAACAGTTAAGAATAAATAACTAGTTCTTGTAGTTATGTATCCATAAAATATTTGGTTAAAAATTATGATTCCTCTTTTATATATTTTTTCATTGTCTTCTCATCACTAAAAATTAATTCTAAATATGAGTATATCTTTTTAGAAAATATGGTTTTGTGCTTATTAGATCAGTACCAAACTTGCTATATAAAGTAATAACAATATCATTTGTTGAAATATTCTTAAGGTTATTAATTTCAAATATTAAGGCATTAAGGTTTTTTGTACTTATACTTTTTCTAGGTAAAAATGTAAAAAAAGTAGTCTTATCACTTTTGACTTTAAACAGACTTAACTAATGCTTAGATTGAGAAATTAAATTTGTATTATATATTTCAACAGAGTTGTTATCTTTATTATTGTAATTTGAAAAAATGAGTATAATATTTGTTTTTTTATATTTAAAGCTTTTTTCTTTTAAAAACAATAAATTTAGTTAAGCCTTTTAACTTTATACTTTTTAAATATATAAAAGAGCTAATTTTACTTTTGTAAAAATTAAATTCATTATCTTTTATTAAATTAATAAAAATAATAATATTAAAATATTTATAAAAAAAATTATTTTAAAAACTACAATTATTTTACCAAATCTTTATTAAATCTGTTGTCAAATTTTGAGTAAATATAATAAATAATTCAAAAATAAATAATTTTATTTATTTTAGATTAAAATAACTTAATTCTAAAATATAACTAATTTTAATAAAATAGACTAAAAATAAAGTTTATTTCTTTAGCTTCTTTTATTCTAATTAGTTATATTTTAGAATTAATACAATTATTTTTTATATAATCAATAATTAATATATTTTATATTTTTAGTAAACAACTTATAAATTTTATAAATAAGTTCAAGTAATAAAAATATTATTATAACTTAATAGAGGATAAAAATATATCTAAAAATTTAAGTAGTTATTTAAAAGGTCTATGATATTATTCTAAGCAAACTATAGTTATTTCATGCTAACCTAACTATTGATTAGAAGAATAATTCTATAACTTTTTACTACAAATCTTTTACTACTTATATTAAAGCTAACTATAAACTATAACAACTTTATACTATTTATATATCTATTTTTGTATCTCATTAACAACTTGCTAAAGCTTCAAATACTAATAAACTCTTTGCAATTTATAATCTTACAACAATAGATGATAAATTATATCTATATCTCAGGAAACTAAATCTTTGATTAAGGAATTTTAGAATATATTTTCTTCTACTCTATCTAATAACTTACTACTAAAAAAAACAGTTAATCATTCTATTAAACTTATTTCTAGATCTGAACTATCTTCTTAACTAACTTGTTATTTATTATACTTAAAAATAAATAAGCTTAAAAAGCAACTATTTGAGTTATTACAAAAAGGTTTTATTTGACCTTCTATATCTTTTTTTAGTATATCTGTTTTATTTGTATATAAAAAGAAAAGTATTCTTAGATTATATATTGATTATAGAGTACTTAACAAAATTACAATCAAAAATAGATATCTTTTACTAAGAATCAAAGAATTAATAGATAAGCTTATAGATTTTAAATATTTTACTAAATTAATTTATACTCTAGATATTACCAAATTCATATTAAAGATAAGGATAACTTAGTAAAAACTTCAAGTTAATAAAACAGTATAGTTTTTAATAGTTATATTAGCTAATACTTGATCTAAAAAAAATATATTTCTTCAAAAATGCAGATTGAGTTAAATGTAAGTAAGTCTGTTCTACTGAAAAAATTAGCAATACTAATATAGCTTAGTAGCTAACTAAATTAGAAAGATCTATTTTATAAAATATCTAAAGAGATTAGCAAATATAAACTAGTAGAAAGTTACAATAAAAATTAAAATTATTTGAATATTACAAAGATTTAAACTAGATAAATTTATAAAATGGGTACAGACTACTTTAGTAGATATTTTTAGATTAACTAGCTCTGCAGATACTTATATTATATTAAGTACAATATAACTTAAGAGAACCTAAACTGATATTAATAAATAGATCTATAATGAACTAGCTAGCTTAAGTAATTAGATATTATAATAATATTAGTTTGTAATAGTATAGGTTAGTTGAATAGAGTATCTAAATAGATAACTCACAGATAAGTTACAGGTATAGCAGCATAGTGTAGAACTAATCAAATAGTCAATCATCTGTGTAGTAAACTACTTAAAATAGATAATAACTAAAGTTATATATATAGCTTGTTATATACTCTTTATATAATTACAAACTATAAATAATTACTTTAATATAATTCTGTATATATATCAAACTAATAAAATTCACTCAGCAATATAAGCTACTTTAATAATAAAAAAATAAAAAGTAAACTATTTTTTTTTAAAAAAAGTAGTTGATTTAGATTTGCTAATAATAAAATATATATTATACTTGGTTTTGAAAATAAATAGTACTATTTCATATATATTTTAGTAATATAATATAAAATTTTAGTTGTTTTTACTTTTTTAATTATAAAAATAATATAATTTAATTAGATAAAATTGACTAATTAGATAAATATTCTACTATGAATATAAATATATATAGTATTATTAACTAAAAGTATCTATTTTTATATATATCTAATTATAAAATAATTGAGTTTAATTATTTGTTTTAATTTCTGACCTAATTTAAATTAATCAAATTTTATAATTTTGATTAATTAAAAGTAACAGATGACTATCAGGTAATCTTACAATATATTTGGTCTTATATAATTTTCTTCTATATTATTTATATTTTTTATTTTGCAAATCAAATTTTATTTATTATTGAAAAATGTCAATTATATCAAATTTATACATGAATCTAATAAAAACTTATTTTTTTTAAAAATATAAAAATAAGCTCTTTTAGTTAAAACATTCTATATAATATAATTTAAAAATTTTTACTGCTAACTAATTTTCATAATTTATTAAATTTTTGAAATTTTTGAAATTTTGAAAATACTTTTTGAACTAAGTGTAGTATTGAAATGAGTAATTTTACCTTTTATACCTTATTTTAGCTGATCTCCTTATTTAATAATTTTAATATCATATAAAAATTAATTAGACAAATATTAAAAATTTGAAAAATTTAGTAAATTTGTAAATTT